CATAATGTATTGAGAACTAAAGTGTGAGAGTACAAGGGTTAAAACAAGGAGTTAAAAAATGGTTCCTATTAATAATGAGGGATCACTGCCTAAAAGATTTAAAAGAAGCGCCCAGAAACCCTTTTGTCACTGTCAGCCAAGAGGAACTTCAGCCACAGTGAGGCCTTGGTATTTGGTGTCTCTTGAATGCTATATTGCACAGAAGTGATCCTGGTCATGCCACTCAAATACATAGATCTTGCTGGTTATGATTAAGTGCAAAAATGTTAGTGTGCTAAATCAATTTTTTGTGTAACAAAATCACCTTCTTCCATCCACTAGCTATCACACTGAATTTTGTTATAGTAATAGCCCTACAGATTTAGTTCCTGCACCAGTCATGTCTGCTCAGAGCGTAATAGGTATTTCAGACTTACCATAGATGGACACCCCTGTCTTTAAATGAGGATTTTTCAGCATCAGATGTTGCACAGCTGCTCCACCCCAGCAAAACCCAATGACGCCAATCTTCTTTGCACCACATTGGTCCCTTAGATACTTGAGGACGACATCAACCTCTCTGAGACATACAAATGAAAGTGAATTAAGGCTCTAGCTCTGTTCCCCTGGCCTCAGTGGTGGCTGCTGCTCAGAGACTGGCTGTCTTTACATCGCTCCTGATTTTTCTCTTTCCCTTACTTATCAAGTTGTCTTTATCTCAACCCATGAGTTTTCTTTCTTTGTTTCTCCTATTCTTTCCCCTGTGGGAGTGAGTGAATGACATTACAGGTGCTTGGCTGCTGGCTGGGGCCAACCCACAACACTATTTTACTATTATTCATTTCTAAAATACAGACAAAACTCCAGGGGAGAAGACAAAGGAGAAAGTCAGTCTTTCTAGATCACTGTTACTAGGACATAAGGTGATTTTATAAACAGCAGTCCAATTAAATTCACAAATAATTGTCATATAGGCTAACACAAATAAAAGTTTGAGACACACAGCTAGTCGAGAGCATCCCATTATTACAAACATGACCTATAGTTAAACTATTTCTCACCACGAAGACAAACAGTTTATAAAATTGTGGAAGCAAATTTAAAATTATTGCTTCTAAATCACCAGAAACATTATGTAATCAAGCTATGTGTCAGGTAAAAATGAGGAAAATATAGAAGAGTGGGAAATTAGTGTGCTTTGAACTAGCTGTTCCCTAGTCACATGGTGTTCAGTGACTGCACTTGAGCCCTATCTAAAATCCATGGAAGTTATGCCTACCTGTAGGAACTGAATCAAAATGAAGAGGAAGGAATGAGCTGCGTTTTCTAGCCTTTGCTTTTTGTTTTAGTCACTCATTTCACTTCTATTCTCTGTGCAGGCAAACAGTGGGTGCTTTTATTCTTGTTCAAACTTCTACTTTTTTGCAAAAAGCACCCCTCTCATAACCCTGAATTTATCCCATAAGCTGTATGAAATTTCTATTTGTGGACATGCAAATATATTTGACCCACTAATGATTTAGGATCGAATGCTTCATCTTTACTGAGGCAAAAATCCCTATGAAATAAGGATGTCCACTCGCTGAACAAGGAACAAGGGTCGTACTTGTCTGTTTTGCCAGCATTTCGGGTTTTCAGCCATTCATTGAAAGTCCCCCAGTCATTAGACGGTTTCCAAGCTTCTTGTCCCACAAAAAAATCTGGGCAGATGGCTCTGTAAGAAAAATGAAAATATTTTATACCCATGAAATAATAATGAGGAAGGATTAAAATGAAGTCCATGTATACTACACAACAAATTCATTTTATTGAATACACATCGTACTTAATCTACATGAAAGCATTATACCAGCAACTCTCAATATTCTTCTACGTCTAATCAGGAGACTTAGTATCATTTGCAGATACATTTTACCCTGTTAAAATTCATTCATTAACTTGATAAATAGCTAACTGTAACTGAAAATCCTTAGTGGTTTCCTACCAAACTTAAAAAAAAAAACTCAACCAAACACATGGTATGTTCATTTGGGCTAGAAGGAACGCCAACCCAGTAATACAGGAAAGAGAATACCAAATGTGCTTTTCAAATATTTGAGAATTTGTTTCTTTCTTTGGCACAAGCTGTTACACTTTAACCACACTGAAAGACCTTCAGCTTCTTTGAAGTTTTTGCCATAATAGCAGAGTTGCACAAGAGGGAGGAGGCAGGCTGTTTCAGTTCATGGAAGATAGAAGAGGCAGAATAACATCTATCTCTACCTTCTGTGCTTACCTACTAACTCATTATGGTAGAACTACTGAACTATTTTAGAATTTTTTCACTTTTAATGGGAAAGTTGCTAGAGAAAGCTGTAAGGAAAGCCTGTGAAATTATTAGTGTTTGTGTGGTTTAAATGAAAACAGAAAACAGTGGCTCAACAAACTTTCTTATTAAAAAGACACTTTGAAAACAGTAGTATTTCTTACATGTATCCATTAGTTGTTAGCATATCAGCTATGTATCTGGTGTTTGGGAGTTGCCATCCAAATATATCGTGAATCACAATCACGGCTTTGTCTGTGCTGGTAGATGGTTTGGAAACATAAGCCTTGATGTGTTCAACTTGTACCTCCTGCCCACGGCCTCCATAGTCAAACCTGTCTCCAATATCACGTGGGCAGGGCCTTGATTCATTAGCCATGTGTGATACTGAAGAACAAAAAAATTCATTTGTGAATACCAAAGCATATCATACTTAAAAAATTCAAAAGACAGTGGTATCGTTACAGTAATATAGGGAACATGCTCATTACTTTTTTATCTAAAATGTAGCATTAGTCTATAGGCCAATTGGGGTGTTTTTTTTTAATAAGAATCTTGTTAGAGTTATTTATGAGCATTTCAGAAGGGACCAAGCACATACCTAGGAGTTCCTTGCCCTACAGTAAGTAATGCAATAAAAATAAAGTTATGAGCAAGCAGTTAGGCAACCATCACAAATTATTTGCTTAGTGATAGAAGTTCTTTTTACAGTTCTTTCACTCTTCATCATGTGTATTTACTGTCAGGAATGTATGACTTTCTTTAGTATACACTGCAAAGGCTTAATACAAGACTTAGCATTTTGAAGGAAAAAAAAAAACCCAGCTACTGTGCAGAAAGATATAATTACACTCAGACTAAATATTTTCCTCCAGAGATTTAAAATATTCCATAGCTGACTTTTTAATGTCAATAAATCCTTTTTCTAAATAGCTTTAGCCTCAGATGTTTTATCCTTCTGAAAAAGGATACTTAGGAGAGGTGCCAAGAAAAATATACCAGCAAAAGTCAGAGTATAAAATCTTATTTATTTATTATTAAATAAAGAACATTCAAACTCCAAGATAGGGAAAAAAATCCTTAAGTTGAGTCAAAACTTTCATCAAGAAGTAACAGAATGGTATGGTTAATTTTTTTCAAACTATTGCTTAAATGAAAATAAACAATTCACAAAGGTCAAAAAGTGTCAGCTGAATCTAACACAGATGTATGTAGCTCCTTGGACTCAAGTTAATGATTTTATGCCATCAACCTTAGGTTAACCAAGCGAGTGAACTGACCTGAATAACTTCATCGAATATGCACAGAGCATGTCCAGATGATTAAACAACACCAAGAGAATTTAGGTAAAGCTTTACCTAAACTCTCTACGGATAAATTGTTTGTACTACCAAAGAAAACTTTGTTAGTACAGAAACAAAGATGATCAAACTGTGCCAAATGTACTCACAGAGAGAAATAGAAAAAAAGCAGATGACTGAAGCATTCCTGGAAGAGTCGGGCTTAAATAGTTGTGGCACTAAAGGAACAGCTTTAGGAAAACAAACAAACGGTCTGGCACCCAGGAGAATTGCACAGATTTTCAGAGACCAAGATCTTCTGAATTTGTAGACTAAAATTCAGAATATTCCAAAAAGTATTACCAGAGCTAGATTGCAGATCCTGTGAGATTTCACTTGAGCATTTGTTTGGAGATCAAACAATAACTAGTTTTCAGATACTTGAATCTGCAACCAGAAAAATATAAAGATATTGCTGTGTGGCACTTTTATTTTCAACACACTCTCCTGAGTCTTCCAGCTGAGAGGTCTTCCCCCCTTTGGAGGGAAAATAAAAGGTTTCTGAATCATCACCTAAAAAAAAAAAAAAAAAAAAAAAAAAAAAAAAAAAAAAAAAAAAAAAAAAAAAAAAAAAAAAAAAAAAAAAAAAAAAAAAAAAAAAAAAAAAAAAAAAAAAAAAAAAAAAAAAAAAAAAAAAAAAAAAAAAAAAAAAAAAAAAAAAAAAACCTCGAACTCCTTAAAAAAGCACGCAGATAAAATGAAAGTCCCCCAAACATGCTGAGTCAGACCTCAGTACGCATTTGTTCTATATTTCGCAGAAGAAAAAGCAGCGAGAGCTTAAAAAAATCCCACAAAACTCCACACATACCTGCAGCACAGAAAGTGTGCGAGACAGTAGAGGCAAGATGCCGGAGCTCGGCGTGGATGAATGGGATTCCAGGAGAAAGCGCTAACGCACAGAATCAAAGGGTGAGTGCAAGGATCCTGTTTCTTTAAATCAGGGTTACATAAGCCTTTATCTTGGTGCCGGCGCAGTGACCAAGTTCACTCTTTTTATCGCCGTTTTCACCGTGAGTGTAGGCGGGGTGTGCTGCGGGGAGGAGTGCTGCTGTGGCTGCGTACCAAGCCTTCTGTTCCACTTACACAAAATAGTATTAAGCATGACTTAGCTGAGCAATCCATCCAGAAAAAAAACTGTGTTTAGGGTTTTGTGGTGGTTTTGCGGTTTGTTTTTTTTTTTTTTTTTTTTTTTTGGTTGCTTTGGTGCTTTGTTTGTTGTTGTTGTTTTTTTTTTTGGGGGGGGGGTTGATGGTTTTTGTTTGGGTTTTGTTTGTTTGTTTGTTGGGTTTTTTTAGGGGTGTTTCTTTGCTTTTAAAGGTTGAGGTATTATCACTTTTAAACATTACATTGGGGTTAACAGTTCTTCAGGCTATTCATACATCGGCAAAAGAAATATTTACAGTCATCAGCGAGGTAAGCAAAGTACAGACCACTTCAAAGCTTATATAGCACAAGAAAAATATTTTCTCTTTCAAAGTGAAAATAAGTAGCAGGTAAGAAAGTAACAGCTTTCTAGACTACTGTACAGTGTGTTTAAAATACTGATACATTCTTATCCTATCACAGGACATCTTATAATTTTTTTTCTTTTTTAACTAAAGGCTCTGACTGATCTTTGTATCCCTCACATTCTTCTGATTTTCTTTTTATGGGATTATTGGGATTATTATGATTATTCCTTAAAGAGCTTTTACTAAGTATATAAGCAATCCAAAACTTACTGTTTCCTCAGAGACATGTCTAAAAAGTAGACTAAATGCATGTTAGTCCACCACATTTCTGTCTTACAATTTAGTCTTCATATAGAAGCTGTTTTCTCATATTCTAAATAACTTTGCTCTTTGTTTGCAATCCCTAAAATGAAGTCAAACAGACGAAAAAAAGCCCACCCAAGAATTACAGAGCAAAGTCATAAAGCTCAAAACCCAACCTTTTTGTTTGGAGTTTTTGGCTTTTCCCGCTTGTGTACTACAAATTATAGGACATAAGTTGCTTAGATACTCCATGGCAACTTTAAAGAACGGTAGTCAAATAAACGAGAGAAAAACTGAGAATTTGCATCATTCCTAAAAAAGAAAAACGACAGCAATGCTTGCAGAACCTTCTCTTCCCTAGAGCTGTTTAAATGCATTTCCACTTCCTTAGTCACGTGTCTCTGGAAATAATTATTTATAGATAAGACTGTTCCCCTCTACCTTAGTATTACCATTAAATTTTAGAAACTAAACTTCTTTTGATTTGATTTCCTGTTGTTTCGTGTTCCTTTATAGGCAATCCATGCTGTTTTTTCACTTGAAAGTCAAGTCTTAATTCAATACATCCATGATCTCTATACATGCAGTTGGCTGCACTTCACACTGTAAACATACACCTCTTTTGGATCTCGTATGTCCAGCTCTTACTCAGTGGTTTACAGTTTTATCAAGAAGATTTGGTTGTACTTGTAGTAGCTCACAGCTGCCCTTTCACTTCAAACAAATGCTTCATCTCAGTTTGTTTTAGTTTTGGTTTTTTTGTTTTTTTTTTTGCTTAGTCACAGTGTTAGTGTTACAGCACACATGCCGTCCCAGCATTTATGAATGACTGCTTTCTCTAAATAGATGTCCTGATTGTTCTCTTGCACATTAGCTTATTTTCTAATTCTAATGGAACACTAGTAATGTGGAATTATCAAGGTTAGATACTGGATAATTAACCTCTAGACCTCTATATTCTTCTCATGGAAAAAATATGTTATGGCAGCTGTATCATCCAGATAACAGCTGTATTAATGTGTTACATATGGATGGTATCATATGAAAAACAACAGTTAATCAGCAGTTGCAGTCCAGAATTCTCTGAGAATTCTCCCCATGGGAAAGATGGGGGGCTCTGGGGGAGGACATTAGCAGCATGTAAAGGAGGAAAATATGTGGGGAAAAGCAAAAGAAATTTAAATCCCATGAAGAGATAAGGTTCATTAATGATCTTGACTATTTTTACGTGAGACATACTAAAATATATATTTCTCTGACAGTATATTTAATATCAGAGACTGTCGCTTGTAAAATTAAGACTTCCCTAAATTACATTTTCTCCCCATTAAATTCCATACAGTCTTTATCAGTAGCATTGATAGGGTGAAAAGAGACATACAATCATTTTTGGTTTTCTTATAACTCTAGGGATATGAGCACCTGGTGAAGACAGGAGGCACCAAACTAACAATCACAAGCCTTTCTCCCCCTGAAGCAAAATTAAACAGTATAAATCACTGTCACAAGATACACTAGAGAGCAGTAGATCAAGCAGGTTCAAAAAGGGACTAGCAAATCATCAGAGGCTTGGTCCACCAGTGGCCATTGGACACAGTGCTCCAGGGGGAATATCCAGCTCAGGAATCCCCTGGAGAGCAGGTTTCCAGCATATTTAGCAAGAGGGGATATTCTCTACATGGCCACTGCTGGCCACAGGTGGAGGCTGAGTGCTGAGGTGGATGCAGTATTGAGCTGATGCAACACAGAGAATTTTGTCTCATATCACTGATGGAAAAACTAGGTAACAAGATATAATTATGCAAAACCTTTTAATATTTCTCCCTTAGGCAGTAGCCGTGGTTGGAAGCCCCACACTAAATGCCTTGTCTGCAGATTGCATTGTATGTTTCAATTCCTAACCTGACCAGGAAAGCATCTATAGAGTTTTACAGAGCCACAGGTAATCTGAGAAAGTAATACACCATCTGAATAACCTTAGCCACAAATTTTGAAACAAGAGATGACCTCTTGTATCACCTGTTAAATACACATCTGCAACCAAGGTACAAGTCAAAAAATCCTCATTGCTCAAAATGAGCTTCACCAAACAATGTGTTTGTGTTCCTAAATTTTCAACTTGTGATTTATGTGGAACTTAGACAAACAGTGGCCATAATACACAGATTAATTTACTATTAGTCTAACTTATTTCAAACATTAAGGTAAATCTCAAGGAACTGGAGAATATTTCAAAGCTTATTAAAATATGTCACCCACTTTGGCAGTAAGGACCTAGACTATTTGTTACAATATAGGGGCAGGTCTTACAATTTGCAGACGTATGGACGGAACAACAATATTTCTTATATGTGAAATATATGACAATGCTAAATAAACTAGAAGTGGGAAAAAAAGCCTCTTACAAACACCTATGGATGTGGTTTGTTTTATCCTGCATGGTTTATAGGTTCCTAGGACCAATAGAAAACTGTCATACAACAAAGGATAGCTCCCTGAGCAGATTACTCTAAAACAGCAGTGGGATTTTGATAAAACTTTTTAACCTGGGTTAGTAGTCATACTTTTACAAAAGAAAGAGACTTAAGAAAAAAAATAATCTAAGTTTCATTCTTAGCACCACTATGTCTAGCTCCATTTTCCTGTTTGCTTTTTGATCTTCAAGCACTATTATGAAGCTGAATTTTGATTCCTAATTCAGGATGGAAATTTAAACATTCAGAAACCAAAAATTATGGAGGTTATTAGCATACTCAGTGAAGGCAATAAAATCTTATCTTTCAGCAAAAATTAAAAATGTAGGGTTCAGGAGATTGGATAGATCATCAGAATCTTTGATTACACTCTGTTCCTGGGTGAAGTTCTAGCTCTGCAGCACGCAGAGGAGTAGTAAACAGGAAAAAGGAAGCTAAATTGGGAAGGTGACCAAAGGACAACATGTATGTCTGTCCAGATCCAAAATAAAGACATGGCTGCTATGACCCATTCTGAAAATAGGAACAAATATGATCACCACCATCTTCTTTGCATAATATCTTTCCAACACTGCTGAAAATATCTCTCTTCATCAACTAACAGCCTCATTTGAAGAAATAATGCTAGATCAAGTACTTAAGCTACACAACATGCATATGCACAATGTTTACCTTCTTGTATTTACCTACCATAGAGAGATATACCCGCCTTTAATTCCTGGTGTGTCATCATCAGGTGATGTACAGAAACACCACCCCAGCAAAAACTAATGATCCCTAATTTCTTTGCACCACACTGTTCCTTTAGATATTTCAGGACAGTATCAGCTTCTCTGGAACATATAATCAAATGCAAATCAAGCAACTACAGTAAAAACAGTATTTGAAATATGAAAAGAAAATATAGAGATGCATTATAAATGTCCCCGCATCATTCTGCAAGCATATTTTCTTTCACATACTTTATATAAATTATTATTTCAGGTAAACTTTTAGGGGTTGCTAATCTGAAATCATCAGAGAGAGGGAAAAAAAGAAGAGAAGCCAATAGAATTCAATTAAAAAAGCAATATAAATTATATATATCGAAGGAAATCTAAAGGAATAGAAAATAGATGATTGATTACAGACCTACATAAAAGTTAAAAAAAGCTTAACATTCTCTGAGAAGTTGGATAAATTTTTTCTTAATAAAGGTTGAAAAAGAAGTAATAAAAACCTCTCTAGAGAATACTATTTATTAGCCAGTCAAAATGCTGACAATAACTGATGTTAGTATCTAGGGTATTTGTTGCAGGGAGGTCAATGTAAAAAACATGGTAGAGTTTTCAGACTTCACAGTATAGCCTGAAATAAATTCTGCCTAGATGCTGAGTTCTGAAAACGCTAATTTACTCCTGAAGCATCTGTCACTATGCAGAGGCAGTAAAAAGAAAGTATAGGTGGGAGAGAAGTGGTATTTAGGGCTTTTGTATCCCCTCAAGGCTGTGTTTTCAGCCCCATTTGTTCCTCTCTTGGTCATGCAAGCTATATATGCCATCAATAAACCAGCCTTGCAAATACCACACTATCTGCCAATGCACAAATACATACAGAAGCAAATGAAGTGCCAAAAAATTCTTTCCTCACTGCAGCTGACACTTGAAACATGTGAATTGCCTGTAAGAAATGCTAGGCAGTGCCCAACCCTGCTTTCCCATTGCAGCAGAGAGGGGACAGATTCCAAACTAAAAAGGTTTCTACAACAACTGAGCTCTCTGAGACAGGAACTCTCTGGAAATGACTCAGTTATGTCTCCCATAATCTTCTTACCAAATATCCAAGCCCAGCAACCTTCAACACAGCTACTCACAACAGTCCAAGATATTTGCTATCCTAGGAAGTTTACTTTTTTCTCTAATTAGTCTGACCCCTTCTCAGTGTTTTCTTGCCAACAGCTTTCCTCTGTGTTATTAAGGCAGCAGAGCCTGCTAGTTACAGGTCTTTGCTGATAAATGCTTGGGCAGTGCTGCACATGGGAGGGGAAGATGTGATACTCCTCGTGGCTCCTATCATCACATTCCCTAGGGAGTCACTGGCTCTCATTGTTCCAGGATGATGCAGCCATCAGCTGCCTGAGAGCAGTTACACCATGGTGGGCAACTACTCTGGCACAATCAAAATCTCTTTTCTTCTTTCCATACAACATCTTAAAGGTATTCAGTCTCTTACACTTGATGAGACACCAGATGAGAATTGTTCTTTCTCATGGCTTGTGTCACTGGGCAATTTTAAACCATGCTTTTTGAAGCTAAGGAAGCAACTTGCAGTCTATGTTACCAACACGGGATGACAAAACTCATCACTAAGCCTCTACTGAGAGAGTTGTCCTTGAAGGAGGGCAATGAAGATAGTGAAGGTTCTTGAGAAGAAGCAGTATGAGGAGAGGCTGAGGACCAAGTGACCTCACTTCAGTCTGAAGAGGAGACTGAGGAGAGACCCCATTGCAGTTACAACTTCTTTGTGAGGGGAAGAGGAGGGATGGGCTCTGATCTCTTCTCTGTGGTGACCAGTGACAGGACCTAAGTGAATGGCCTGAAGTTGCGTCAGGGGAGGTTTAGGCTGGATATTAGAAAAAAGATTCTTCACCCAGAGGGTGGTTGGGCGCTGGAACAGGCTCCCCAGGGAAATGGTCACAGCACTAAGCCCATCTGAGTTCAAGAAGCATTTGGACAGTACTCTCAGGCACGTGGTGTGACTCTGGGGATGTGCAGAGATGGGAGCTGAACATGATGATACTTGTGGGTCCCTTCCAACTCAGCATATTCTATGATTCAGTGATCCTGTTCAAAGAAAAATAAATGGTCACTAATTCCTTCCCCACTTCTAAGGAGTCATTAAAAAAGGCCACCTTTGCTAGTAGATTAGCTTCATCCAACATCAAACAAAACAAAAAGAAAAAACCACAAACCAACATAAAAAAAGAATAAAGAAAATAAAATTTTTAAAAAAGTAAAAAAAAAAGGTTAAAAAAAAAAAAAAAAAAAAAAAAAAAAAAAAAAAAAAAAAAAAAAAAAAAAAAAAAAAAAAAAAAAAAAAAAAAAGGAAAAAAAGTCATCTCTGACAGCAGCAGACAATGTGATATCCAGCTCCCTGACACGTTACTTGTTTTTCTCGTGGCATCTCAAGCTTTCAGCCAATCACCATAGACCACTCATCAGAAGGCTTCTAAACTTCTCTTCCCAAAAAAAGTTACACACTTACAGACACACACACACACACAC